TGAGATTGAAAACAGCCCAAAAGAATAATCTTAATATCAGAATTATATTAGGGGTTATTGCCTCAATCAGAGACTAATGTTTGATTAAAGCATTGAAACTAAATTACTAGTTGAAAGGAGCAGACGTGTTTGGTAAAAAACTGAAAAAGTGTCTGAATGATATGAAATTACATTAAAGGACATATGATTTATTGATAAAACAAAATATTTATTATAATGATTTTTGGTAAATATATTTGTCAGTTGAAGATGGGTAGAAACATATTGCACGACCAAGTCTCTGTTCTCAACTCACTCACGAACAAAATGACATTCAATCTAAATATGCTTGTTACTAGCATTCTGAACAGAATTGACAGTCAAGTATGAAGCTGAGATATTATCACAAAAAAAGCTGAACAAGTAACTTGACAAGAAAATCGAGTTCCAACCAAACATGTTGAATATGCAAGGTATCTTGTACAGTGTAAGCAATCACACGATACTCAGTCTCTGTAGAAGACTTGGAGACAGTAAGTTGTTTTTTGGACTTCCAAGAAACCATGTTGGGGCCCGCCAAGACTACAACAAATTCAGTTGTGGAACGAGAAGTATCCAAACAATCAGCTCAATCTGCATCGAAATATGCCAAAATACAAGTAAGCTGAGTCGAGGACTGGAGCCACAAGGCCCACAATCCATGATCAATCGTGCCCTGTAAATATCAGAAAATGCGCTTGATTGTAAGCATGTCAGTAGTACGAGTGGCATTCATAAACTGAAACACTAAATGTACTGCATAAGTAATATCAAGTCGTGTCAAAATTAAATAATGTAACACACCTACCATACTGTGATACTCGATGGCATCTGACAAAAGTTTACTATCAGTTAGAGGTAGAGAAGTATGAGTAGCAAGAGATGTGCGAACAAATGTAAGATTGTGCAACTGAAAATAAGCAAGAAGATCAGTAACATATTTTTGCTCTGCGATAAATAAACCTATAGAGGTACGAGCAACATGGAGTGCTAAAAATAATGAAGATCACTCAGATTTTTCATTGCAAAATGAGTAGCAATAAGACGAATAAGCGAGCCAACGGAAGATCCTACGGAAGGAAAGGGGAAAATCTCTACAATCTTATAAGAGTGAATGAGAGTAAGGGTTGTTTGGGTATATGAAATGTGTTAGTGGTACAGTACAGCTAGATTCAATTGTACATTCATTTTAAAGCATTGTACCCCTTACATTATATTCTAACTTTCTAATTTTCTTCCGTTAGTCTTCACCTCTTTAAACTTCCGTTAACTTTTCATTTCTCCTTTGTTGCTAACAACTTCAATTGGGTTCTAACAGAGCTAATTTTACCCAATTGAATTGTTTGCTTTAATTTCTTATTATTACCCTTTTCCCCCTTTTCTTGTTATTCACCCTTCCCCCAATCAGCCGCTGGTTATAGATCCTCGGAATTATGGAATTTCGACCATCAGCGGAAATCAGTTTATAATATGACTTGTCAGCTTGTAGAACAGAAGTCTTGACCTTCGAAGTCCTTGGCTTGTTTATCCGGAGTATTTAACTGTATTTTTATCTACACTCATTTTATAAAATTCCATCAAATTATATACTACATATGTCCCAAATTAATTTGCAAAATTAACTTTTTTTATCGAACAGTTTCATTTCATTCACTTAATTTGGATGCTAATTTTTAATTATATTCTAATTTTGGAGTTAGCAACTTTGAAGATATTTTAATGTAGTTTCCGAATATGTAAGTTTTAATTATTAAAAATTCAGTTAATTAGCAATAGAGAGGATTTAACTTTAACAGTGATTGACCAAAAACTGTTGACTTTGCAAATCAATTTGGAACAGATGTTTACAACAATTCTCTTACAGTAAAAAATGTGAAACCAGACATGCTATTTGAAATAATGTAGGGATTCATATGTTTTGTATGTTTGTTAGTCAATTAGAATTATGTGGAGACAAACTTTTTCTCACAGCCCACTAAATAGTCTTATATGGTTACTGAGCAAGTCCGTTAGAATGCAAGCTCGAAAATTTAGGATTTAATTAATAAAGCGGCAAAACTAAGGCATAGATAACTTTCCCTCAGTTTTGTGATCAATTCATTGCTAAAATTAACATTTAACTGCACCAATTTAACTACACCTACTAGAATAGTAATATCACTGATGGTACTAATAATAATATTACAAATAACAACAATAATAAATTTTTAAAATATTTGGTCTGATTTAAATGTTTTTTATCTAATCTGAATATTATTACCACCTCCGTGTCACTAACACTGGGACATGATGATGCGGTACGGTTATTAAGAAAATGAGTTTATGTGATTGATGTTGAACTAATAAAGTAAGAATAAATAATAATGATTTAGAATCACAAAACTTTACCAAATTTGATACGGAGTATGATACAATCTTAATAAAATGGATCGAAGAGGAAAGATCTGCCAATCACTAACATTTTTCCAGTAAATTTGAGTGGGCTCATAGCTGACTTAGGCCCTCGTGCCTACGCCCCTGCTTCATAGATCCCACTCTAACCATGGACGACATCTGGACATTTTAAACGGAAGTATGATTACAACTTTCTGAATTACTGGTGGATCAGTAGTTAGTGATGATTACCCACCCTCATGACCCATCATTTTGGAACCGGACTTGGGGTACACACTTGTGTACACACTCTTACACACTCGTGTCTGTGTAGGCTTTTTTTTGTCCCAGACAACGTATTTGACAAATACGTTTTGTCTGGGAGAAGCGGAATAAATTTTACACTTGGCTCCTTGTCGGTGGCTGGACAAATCGGGATGTTTAATACAAAGTAGTTTGTTTGAGAATTATATATTGTGATCGTAGCAGGAGTCGTCGACCTGAATTTAGAGTTTATTTCTTTACGAGATTAGCGATTCAGCTTTTACAATTTGAATCGTCTGTTTATATGTCTCATCTCATTGTAGCTTTGAGTTATATGATTGTAGTTGTTATTGGGCATTTTCCCGATCGCGCAACGCGCGTCACGTAACTAGTATTTTCATAAAATCTAACATGACGACTAATAATGACCCAACCAGACTTGGGATGCTTTTACTTGAATCGAAATTTGTTGGTCTGGTATGGTCTTGTCAGGTCTGATGTGATCTGGTAAATATCTGGTCTCTGTGTATTTTATAACTATCCAAGTCTAGTCTGATCAGGTCTGGTCTAATCTAGTCTGGTCTAATCTGGTCTGGGATGACAAACAGTCCAAGTAAAAACATCCTTAGGCTCAAGACAACGATAACATTTACACTGAGATGCATAGCCAACAAAAATACATTGAATAGAGCATGCAGAATGTTTTTAGAGGATGAAGCATAAATATTAGGGAAATGGTCACACCCAAAAACACGCAAAAAAGAATATTCAAGAGCTTTGTGAAAAAGTTTTTCGTATGGAGATAAACAAAAAAGAAGAGAAAGTAAACGGTTAATTATATGCAGCAGTAAAAAGAGCATCAATCAGGGGCGGAGTCAGGGCACTGGGCCGAACTGAGCCGGTACAAAGAATATTTTTAGAAAAAAATTTGGTCAAACATTACGGGCCAACGATAATCGAGTACCAGGCAATCAACTATCCCAAAGGCAGAAGGGGCGACCCCTCTCATTACGGGCCTGAGCTCCCAAATATCTACCTCAGTAATCCCCAAGGTCTGAATTGAAGCGTCAAGGACTTGGACGAAATCCGCAAGGATTTATCCCACTAGGAGGTGTCGCCACGTCATCATCAACACCAGGGAATATTCTCGGTTACCAGCGCATAGCCACACGGGATTTCTGGCAGCAATTCTGTTAGAAGCAAACTCCAATCAGCCAACTATCGAAGACTCTCTCTCCAATCAGCTTTACACGTGGCTGCTCCCCATCAAATCATGTTGTTAGTTTGTTAGAGTAGCTTTACACGTGCCCCTCTCCTATTAGACTAGCATCTTTTTACTTGGGCACCAAGTATTGCCTTTTACCCCTTAGTATAAGTATCACCTCCCAACATGTGGAAGGGATCGCATTCTGAATTCTACTGTTATACTGCCGGATTGTCTACTTGCATTTTCCCGAACCAGATCACTATCTCCCTTTTCTCTTATTATCGATGGATTCCGGCCACCCCTGGTCCGACAATCCATCAATAACAAACAATTACTCAACATCAATTTTCTTCATTTTGTTCACCCATTCTAAATCTTTTACTGATTTTTAAAAGCCAACATGTTTATCTTCACAATTCTAAGTAGACATACATAAAACTCCTCATGTATTCTTCAGTATCCTCATCAGTTTAGAAGAAATACACAGGCGTTGTGTGAAGGCTATAGTGTTGAATGATAATGAAGTGCTTTCTATAAAATGCATGGTTTTGTTTGTTTTTTAGAGCAAGCATATTTAGACAAATGTTTAAAGCAACTAAAAACATACAAAGTTCAACCAAATGGGTAAGTCTACACGCTACAGCCTACAGGGTGATACTTAAGTTTCATTTGTGTAAAAAAAACAAACATCTTGATCTTCATTACGTAGTATTCCGTATTATTCAACACGGGTTAGTAAAGAAACACATATTTGCAGTCATTAGTTCTAAGTCTGTGATGAATTAATTTATGTGAGAGGAAGTGTTTTGTTAGTTTTATAAAACCTTTACAGTAGTGTTTTGGATAACAAAGAGATTATGGCAGCAATTTCTGCACAATCATCCATGAACCTTTCTTTTTCTTATTTCAAAAAAAAATTCAAATTTTCTTCATTATCATCCACCCCTTCTATGGCAACTAATTATGCTTTGGTCATCGGCAGGGGTATGGGTCATGCTAGGCCTCGTCCCACTCCAAATTTGAAAAAAAACTTTCAATATTAGAGTAAATTTTTGTGCAATTGTTTTTTCAAAAATGTTATATGTACCAGCCCAATTTTTGGCTCTGGCTATGCTACTAGCTTTGGGCATTTATGGTATGTTAGAATGTTAGATTATCATGAAGTGTTAAACGAACACTTGTGTAGTTTCAATGAGGAAAACAAAATCAATACCTGCTTAGGCTAAAGTGCTAAACCACGAGCTAACTTTTTTTAAGACATTATCCACACACGACTGAAAGAGTGAATCTAACTACGAATAATGTATCAACAAGCCAATTGATCTCTTTGAGGGGAGATTTCTTCAAAAATGGGAAGTCTCCTAGACCTGAATGGTGCCCAGTGGTTCACCATTTTATCCAGACCCTCAACAAATGCATACTCTAAACTGGCCCCGACAGGGACTGAAGCGCATTTTGCGGTTTCTAAATGCTTAAGCTCCAGCAACAGTTCCTCGGCACGAGCCACTGTCTTGGGATCCTCTGAACCAGACAGTTTCCCTGTCAAAACGCCTTCTAGTACATCTCTTGCTTCTTTACACTTCACTTGTCTGATGAGGCAAAGACACAGGTTACAGGCTTTATTGGCATCTGGATCTATATCCTGCGCTTTGTGGTAAACAATCTCAGCAGCTCCATAATTCATTTGCTGCATGTATGCCCACCCCAAGTTACCCTGCAATGTTATTTCCATTTGAAGTAAGCGAATTAGGATCTGTGAGATCATAGACTAAGTTTTATCAAGCATAGATGTTTTATCAAGTCTTGTATGGTTTGAAATTGTCTCTTTAAATTCAGTATGGTCCATTGTTTCAAACTGGAGCAGCAACATGTGTTGCGGTCGCAACATTGCAGTTGCCGTCCACAGTGCAATCACATTACACCACAATTGCAATGGTTCCTTACTTACACGTGTTGTGATCGCAACATCGCATTACTAACTCACTCAAACAAAAACATACTCCATTATAAATAGAAAGTTTATATGCAGTATTACAGAAATTAATATTTTCATAGAAGTACCGTGAGGTAGACCCCTTTTGCACCAACAGTTTGACTAGACCACATATCAGTAAATCTAAACGTGCTCAATCAAAGGGTATGTTTAGGAACATTTCCCTAAACAATAGTTTCATCCGCCATAAGTATAGCAACTTCAGCTAATTCGACCCAATTTACCCTTATAGAACAGGTTGGTAAACTAAATACTTCGTATAATGCAAATATTCATCGGTAAAAAGGCAGACATGAAAGAGTTATGCTAGAGGTACAAAAACTTTTACAAAAAGTCTTACAAAAGAGGTATGTGCTATCATCACATTATTTAACACATCACATCACATTTACAACACTTTTACATCAATGGTAATTAGAATAGCCACATCACTTGTTTGTAAGTTTTTTTGTAAGTGTGCTTGTACTTCTAGCATTTTTCGACATGAAATGGAAAAAGTTATTGAAAAGTATACCAGTATTCTGGTGGTTTCCTGCTTAATTGTGACTTGGAATTTCTTTCCATGGGAGCGAGCCGTCTTTGTAGGTTTTCCATTGAATGCTTCTCCTTGGTAAATCATCCTCAACTTCTCCTTCAACAGCTCAATCTGTTCCTCCAATTTCCCACAGCTCTATAAAATATAGCAGTAAAACAGGAGAACCAAACAGTAAATCTCTGCTCTCAGAATATAAATGTGTAAATGAAGTTTGTGCATATAAAAAGGAATATTCCGTAATGGGAATCACAAATTAGTTAATTTAGAAACAATGCAAGAAAGTTTGTTGAGATTATAGAAAAATGAAAGTTACCAAAGCCCAGCAAAACCAGAACGGGTGAAGTATATTGGTTTTAATAATTAAAGGTTATAACTTTATATATTATGAAATTTCACAATAAATTTTATGGAGTTGCAAAACCAAATGTTAGATGGACAAGGATTTGTTTAAGTTGACTTGTAAGAACTAAGAAGCATCAACCACTATATGTACAGTACTACAGTAGTGTAAGTTTAGTGGTAGGGGGAGTACCTTGTACAAATCGATAAGAACATTATCAAGCGATTCCTGGGCTTGCTTAGAGCAGAGGAATCTGAAAGACTTGATAGCTTCAATGGCTTCTTCACCTCTGTCCTGTTGCTTCATAACGACTGCCATGTCTTTCAGTGCGCTATCCACTCTATCTCCTGCATTGATTGCCTTCCAAAACAGAACTATGGCAGCTTCTGCATCTTTGTCAACTAGCTGCGCCCAGTTTACCATTTAGATGGGTCAATTATCTCCATTTGAAGTTGAATGAATTGAATCTTGAAGAAGACTTTTTTGGTCTTACAGAAGGATTTATATGATTTTATTTGTCTCTAAGTGAGACAAATAAATGAGACAAAGAAGGCTTGATTCCCTAAGTGGCTAAATAGGACCTATTTAATTGATCATATTTAATGTATAAAAGTTTTTCGGGATAAGGGTCAGATAGGGACTCGAACTTACAAAAAATGTCAAATAAGGTCATATATAGGATGCTCTATACGTCCGACGCCATTTGGGGTGGTTCCCGGTTAAATTTTTCGATGAAATTTTTTGAACATCTTATTCATTAAGCCTAATTTACTCATATCAAATTTGAACTAAAAATTCAATCGGGAAGACATTCAAATGAATTCTTGAAAATAACTTCGCAGTTAAAAGCGCAATTATCTTCAAGAATTTATTTGAATGCCTTCTCGATTGAATTTTTAGTTCCAATTTGGTATGACTAAACTAGACTTAATAATAAGATTTTCAAAAAAATCATCAAAAAATCCATCGGGAACCGCTCCAAATGACGTCGGCCGGACAGATCTTTTTGACATTTTTTTGTAAGTTTGAGACCCTATATGACCCTTATACAAGTTTTTCACTTAGAAGTGTATGCGTGTTATATTAAGATCATGCACTTTCTGCTTTTTTAGGATGAAAGCTAAGCTTAAATTTTGAGAAGAAAACAGATTCTATTGGTGCACTTTGTATGTTATAGTCCTATTCAAAAAAAATGTCTGTATAAATTTATTTTCACATTTTGATAATCTGAAAATGTTTACTTTACTTAATATAAGTAGTTAATGAAAGTGGTTAATACTTTATTTTATTTGAAGAATACCTTTTTGGGAACACACTTATATCATATGGGGTATTAAATGGATAAATGATGAAAGTGTTAAATTGATCTAATTGTGACAATGAGATCAAAGTTGACTTACTTAGAGAAGGGCCAGAGATGAAAGTATGAAACTATATATGCAGAAAACATATTAGAACCTACTAAATAGTTTACCTGAGCATATTTAGCTTTCACATAGGGACTATCACCATGAGGAAGCTTGTGAATGGCTTGAAATTCCTCCATTTTTCCTCCTTTTCTTGCAAAGTTATTGTTCTTCATCTCTATGTTTATTTAGAATTTATAAAAAAAACAGAGTAGGGGGAATAAATGTGTCTGTAGTTGCTGGTGGGTGTAAGGAAATGAGGAGAGTTAGGGAAGAGCAATGGTGTGAAGAGAGAATCAAAGCAAAGCGTATTAGTTAATCCGTGTGCTGATAAGAATATTGGATCAGGCGAAGGAGATGAAGGTGGCCAGGAAAAAGTCCAGATTCTTTATCTCTTGGGTTTTGGACGGTTGTACCCTTGCTCAATTTTTCCATTGTGGGACATGAGGACGTGTTTATGAAAGTGTCAACGCATTCCATTTTTGCTACTTTATTTTGTCTTTTTGATTTCAGAGCGTATAAATGTAAATTACATAATACTTCTTGAGAACATCCAACATTTGTATTCATACAAAAAATATTTAAATTTCTATGGGAGTCATTACTTTTTTTTTATATCAACTAAAGGTGAGAACATTTCTATTTTAATGATAACATGTGTGAGATGCACAACAATAAGGGTTTGCATAATTTGGTTGGATGTGTTGTTGTTCAATCTAGTTAAGATGATCTGTTAATCAGGGATGAATCCAGGATTTTGAGTTAAGGGGTGAATTGTTTCATTAGTTTAGGGGCTAGAAAAAAAATCGATAGTGTGGTCGAGCAATTTTTTTTTTTGCTAGTGTAGGACTTTGTGGCTATTTTTTATTCAAAAATGTTCATTAATACACACACAACAACATTTGTATCTATTACATTCTAAGTTTAGACAATAGAAAAATAAATTTGATTTTATAATTGAAGTGCTTTAGAAAAAGTATTGATATATTAAAGCGTAAAAAATGACAAATCAAAGTAAAATTATTTGAAAATAAAAAAAGATATATAACATTTTATCAAATTACCATATTTAGATTTGTATATTTATCTTACGGTGACATGATATTAGGATGATGAAAGAGAAATCACATTTTAAATACAATGTATACATTGTAATATTGTATTGATTAGAACTCGAAGTACTTGAAAGACCAATCATATGCAAAGATGGAATGGTTTTTCCAAATTTATTTGTAAGAAAAAATGGCCCGGGTATAACTAACGCGCTTTTGATTTCCAAATATATGAGTCTTTCCAAATTTCCCAAAAAAGTGTCCCGCTTGCATTCTACGCAAGCTGCCTTCCTTCTAGGCAAGTGCCTTCCCTCTTCATTCGACGCAAGGAATAGAACGCCAGAGCTGCCATCAAAAAATAATTTTACACTTAGATCACTATGTATCTGTTTTTAAAGTGTTATATATTTTTCATTTGTATTCTGATTATTACAAAAAATATATCAAAAGTTATTCTTTTTTATTATCTTTTATAGTAAAGCAATGTTTCATATAGAAAAATAAAAATAAAATCTATTGATTTGTGTAGTTTAGGATCATTTTTTACCATGCGCACAATTAATCAAGAGTCATAGATTAAAAGAAATTACATAAGCTCCATCACATTTATTTATTTAATTATTTATTGTACAAGAATTTATGTTGTTTTATTTCATACGACACCAATAATAAAACAACATAAATTCTCGTGCGAAAAATAAATAAATAAATAAATAAATAAATGTGATGGAGTTTGTGCAATTTTTTTAGTCTATCACTCTTGATTAATTGTGTGCATGGTAAAAAATGATCCTAAACTACACAAATCAATATATTTTTTTTTAATTTTTCTATATGAAACTTTGCTTTACTATAAAAGATAATAAAAAAGAATAAATTTTGATATATTTTTTGTAATAATCGGATTACAAATGAAAAATATATAACACTTTAAAAACAGATACATAGTGATCTTCAAGTGTAAAATTATTAATTTGGCGATCTTCAAATAAAAAAGTTACAACACTTCAAAGAAAACAGGAAATTTTTAATTTGGGTGGGACCCATGAGTATATGTTGTTAACTTTGGCATTACATGTTGCGTACGTGAGTTCCCTTGTTTTTTATAAGATCCGAGCTGTCACTTCAAGTGGCGACTTTCTTAACCATGGTTAATCCAACAGTATTTTGGGAATTATTTTTAACCTAGCAGTATTTTGGGAATTATTTATTTAATTAACATTATTTCGGGAAAAAACTCAGAAGTTTTATATATTCTTTCTTGAATAAAAAACACGGCGTACTTTGTATAACATTTTTGTGAAAGGAAAAATCGCTTATATTAATATCATTAAGATTCATATTGTTATAATAAACTCAAATAGACCAACACTATCAACTCTACAACTAGACTTATAAACGATCATCCCTGAAAGAGCTATACGAATCGCTAACCACCAAACGAGTGTGACACAGCAATCACTGATCATATAGATCCTTTTAGCAACATAATATATATCTAGCAGAATTGTCAATCATTATTGTTGACATAAAACGAAAGACATCAACAAAAAACAAAGCAACGTAAACAAACCTAACACAAAAATACGCCCATAGGAAATAAAATAAGGCATAAATACTCCAAACTCCTTCCTCCCAGTTTTCTTGAAATATATCTTTCAAACTCTGGCACTCGATCGCTCCGAGGCGGCGGTTCAGGAGGAGGGTTACCTGCCAATCTGTCTTCTCCCTTGCTTGACCCTTCACCGCTCTTATCTCGATTTTCTTTATCAGGACTCCTCCACATGGACGTCATATTGAAGCCATTAGATCTTTGAAGCTATTCTCCTCTCCACCAATATCTAGCTTGTTGTACTGATGAATCATATTCTCCATGCTGATTGACTGACGAAACATTACTTTGAAACCTTGGGGTGCAGTGATGAAACGTTACTCTGAAACCTTGGGGTGCAGTTTGCATTGAATCTGCACAATAAAACTACCGCCGCACCAACCACTTGAGGCTTGCGGGAAAACTAAACCCTAATTACATATGCAACACAGATTCAGAATATTAAGAACCAAATAATATCAGAGTGTATCCATGTAAATTACATAATACTTCGTGAAAACATCTGAATAGAACACTTATTCATACAAAAAATATTTAAATTTCTATAGCAATCATTACTTTTATTTTTATATCAACTAAATGTGAGAACATTTCTATTTTAATGATAACATGTGTGAGATGCACAACAATAAGCGTTTGCATAATTTGGTTGGATATGTTGTTGTTAAATCTAATTAAGATGATATGATTATCAAGGATGGATCCAGGATTTCGAGTTAAGGGGGTGACTTTTTTTTCATTAGTGTAGGGGCGGGAAAAAAATCGCTAGTGTAGTGGGGCAAAAAGTATTTTGCTAGTGTGGCCGAGCAAATTTTTTTCGCTAGTCTACGACTTTGTGGCTATTTTTTATTCAAAAATTTTCATTAATACAAACACAACAACATTTGAATCTATTACATTCTAAGCTTAGACAATAGAAAAATAAATTTGATTTTATAATTGAAGTGCTCTAGAAAAAAGTATTGATACATTAAAGCGTAAGAAATGACAAATCAAAGGAAATTTATTTGAAAATAAAAAAGGATATATAACATTTTATCAAATTACCAGATTTAGATTTGTATATTTCTCTTACGGTGACATGGTATTAGCATAATGAAAGAGAAATCTCATTTTAAAAACAATATATACATTGTATTGATTAGAACTCGAATCGAAGTTCTTGAAAGACCAATAATATGCAAAGATGGAATGGTTTTTCCAAATTTATTTGTATTGGTATGGTGTCGTACCGTACCGAACAAAATCGAAACAAATGATGTGGTATCAGGGCCGGTCCTAGATTAGAACCACTATCTATCAAGATGATTAAATGAAAATAGTAATTAGCTATAAACAATTTATGTAAAAGACAAGTTACTACGTAGTAACTAATAATTACTAGCTCAAAAAACAAAATTATTTACTTGTAAAGTTTTAAAGTGAAACAATTATAAATTTAACAACCTAATAGTATAATAATATAAATTTGTTAAATCAATTATAGAAAGAACATATTACCATTGGATGCTCTTTTTGTTGGCAGAATTACCTTGAGCTATGTATACTACATAATACTCCATATTATTCATTATTTTTGGACCTTTATTTTTATTGGGCCTTGTGCCATTGCACTTGGAGCACATGACTAGGGCCGGCTCTGTGTGGTATCAAATGGTTCCAACCCTAAAATCTAATCATACTAACCATTTGAAACTTAAATAATGTCGTAGTACTTCATATTTAGAATTCCAACTCTAAAACTGGACCATACTAACCTTTTGAAACTTCATTAACTATACACTACGGATTTTGATAATTTACCAGATCATTTGGGACCGTATTTAACCCTATAAACAATAATCAAAATGTTTAGTAGCCTGTATTTTGAGTTTCGCTCCATTAATTATTATTTTAAAAGGAACAAGCAAGTTATGTCAAGTTCTAATTAATTTATTCAATCTAAGTCACTAGCCAACATGGAGCGGGCAAAATAACCTAGTTAATGTTGGGAAAGCCCAGTCAAGTAATTTCGGTCATTCGATAAAAAAAACGTAAATCGTACTTATTTTGATTATTATACAATTCAGTGTACGAAATCAAAAACTACGTGTTTGGTCTGATAAACTAAAGAACCGAATTCTAAAAAAGTTGTAATAAATGTATGGCACACAAAAACTAGACTAATTGGACTAAGATGGACCCGGTCCGGTTCGGAACCGGATCCGGCACTGTTTGGGCCTGAATGGGGTCCGTTTTTTCGGTTTCGGTCCTAGAATCGAGCCTGTCTTCCAATGAGGGGTATCAGGTTCCAGTTTACAGTTTTGGGAACCAAATATGGCGCTGCTAGACCCGTTTTTGGTCCCAACGTGCAAATGTTTTATTTGTTTGGTCCTGAGAACCGAGCGAAACAAAAAAATTAGGGGAACCGAGACTGGACCAACTGGGTACCCGGGATCGGTCCGGACCCAGAACTAAACGGGTCAGACCCGAGCTTCACCATTATTTTGTAAGGACTGGGTGGTCTCGGCCCTGAACTGGGACCGGACCGACCCAGGAGGATCCCTAATTTGGACGCATATTCTATAAACTCTAGATTTACTAGTGAGTCATTGTTGTTTCCATATTTCAAATGGAAACATTCACTAGGTTTCAGCGGTGTGTTGTAACACAAATTGAAGGAAAGTGCCACTCACTATCTGAGCGAAGTGTCACTTAGCAGATTCAATCAATTTTATTGTCATCGACTCATCATAGTTAAGTATTACGCTTACTTTTTGACTATTTTTATTTGGTTTTAAATATAGTGAAAGTATATTAAGAAAGCCATGATAAAACATTATCCTATATAAATATGTGTCAAAGTGAAAAGTTGATATAACACTTAATAAGCGCACCTCAATCTAAGGTAAAGAAGTTGATGAAGGCAAAGCTCTGCTACCTGCATAAGCATCTGCCTCCACATAGATGCTCATATCTATTGCGTATTCCGGAAGGATCTGGCTAAATCGCAGAACCTCTGTTCTAACTGCTTCACAGTGCAATCATACTCTTGCTTTATATTAGTGTACTCCCTCTTCTTCTAATTTACTTTAAAAGATGAGTAATACTGCTCGTAGAAGTCCACTTCATCGTGGAATTCACTCAAATGACTTCATCGTGGAATTTTCCTTCCACACCTTTTCACCACCTTGTGACTACCCCTTCTACCAGTCGAGTGGCGAGCCTCAACTTCACGTTGAGTCCAATCCGTTATCCCTAGCTAGATGCCTCATTCAGTTTTTTGACCCAGTTAGCAGCTTCAGAGATATCCTCAGTTCCATCAAACGATTTGCACCCCAAGACTCTAGCTTCCCTAAGGTACTAGGAAATTCTCACAAAGTGGTTTCCTTTGTGCCCACTCATGGGTGTTACTGGTGGATCCCAAGAAGCTTCTCGACTTTCCTACGCCGACTTGCCTTGAGAAGTATGCTCTGCCTAACACCTCCCTTCAAAAATCACTTTTTTAAATTAGATGTAATTGCAAACACACCCTTAGTCTAACCATGGTATACACTTTTGTGCACAAAGTCCCGTCCCCCAAGCTGCAACCTCTAGCCTCCCGCCGCGCATTTTACTACGGAGTAAGGATGTTTTTACTTGGACTTTTTCAATCCAGACCTGATCAGACCAGATTAGATCAAACCAAGTCAAATCAGATCGGACTTGGATAATTATAAAATAAGACAAAACATTTACTAGATCATAGATCATCAGATATCAGATAAGACCGGTAAAAGAATCCTAACACCAATTTAATTACCCTCCCAAATTTCCCACCCTTGACCAAATGAACTACCATGAGGCTCTGTATCTTCAAAACTGATTCTAGGAGTACATTAGAGCACCAGAATCACTTCTACATTTTCACTCAAACACTCCAACTTAGGGAGCAGAAGCAGTTTTAAAAATCGGATCCAAACATCCCTTGTCTACACCCCTATGTAGATGTAGTATGTAGATGCTCTAAGACAATGAGGAGGGAGGCCAATTTCTGTGGAGCTGCCCGACAAGCTTAAGTGCGGATTCAGCGACAGACGTGGATATTATAATCACATTTCTGATGCTCGTGGAATTGAAACGCCTTTTACTTTATCAATTAAAAAAAAGTAGCAAAGGATGAATAGATCGATGGGAATGGAATTGGTACAATGCAGCGTCTCCCTGTTCTCTATTTCCCTCACTGCTTAAGCTTCGGAGCCGATTGGGTCTGTTTTTGTGCTGTTCAGCTCACTGAGTCAACCATCTCTCTTTCTAGTTTTTTTTATTGTCTCTTTCTAGTTGAAAAGCTAATTAACTGAAACCAAAGAAATACAGTAAAAGAAATAGAGAGATCTTTATACTTTCTATTTAAACTAGTTCTATTGTCGCTCTCAGTCTACTTCTGCTTCGAGCTTTCAACGGAACGACAAGATCCTCAAGTGTTTCCCTCAGGATATAAGGTACGGAGTATGCATATTTTAATTCTTTTGTTTACACTTGCTGTTTTTAGTTTTCCCAGAAATATAAATAAACAAAACATAAAAGCTGCCCCAGTTTTTCCCTTGTCCCCTTTTCATCGCTTAAATGTACTAAAAGAAAATCTTTTACTTAGACCCTTTCTGGAGTTGGGTCCATCCTGTCTACTTAATGATCTTTCAGCCTGTTTCTACTTTATGGGTAAGTCTATTACATTATGCCTCACTGGTTTTGCATCTACCTGATCACACCATAAATGTAACTTTAGCACAGTGAGCATCGGTTCTGTTCTATGCATCTGTGATATACATTGAATTTGAGTGTATTATTGGTAGTTTTGCCATTTATATTAGCCCTAGTGGCCAATCTTGAATTCCGGTGTTATTTTTTAGTATTAGTTAGAAGATGAATTGTTAATTTGAGATGAAATGGCTTTGACAAGGATTTAAGTAACTGAGTAGTTAAATTAATGTGTAATTTTATTTTTGGACTGATTTAGAAATAGTATCCCTAATAGCTAAGTCCCTGAATTTCAGTCAAATCGCAGGTTGAAGTAAAAGTGAGAATTGTATGATCTGTATTCTGTAATTGAAAAATAAATAAAAAATGGGGTGTGCTGTTTCGAGGATGGATCAAGAAGAGAGGGTTCGCCTGTGTAAGGAGCGAAAGAGGTTGATGAAAGAATTGGTTGGGTATAGAGAGGAATTTGCGAACTCCCAATTATCATATTTGAAGGCATTAAAGAACACTGGGGTGACTCTTAGACAGTTTACTGAGTCGGACACATTGGAACTTGAAACCATCTCCTGCGAAGACCACATTGACTCTTCTCTGTTGCCTCCGCCGCCACCCCCACCCCCACCTTTTAGCCCTGATTCAAGAAAGGCCGGTGACAATTGGGAAGAGAGCGAAGAGATGGAGAGCAGCCAATCTGGAGATATATTTGATGATAGCTCATCAATGATGAGCTGGTTTAATAAAGACTCTTCTGTAGACGTGGCCGTGGAAGCTTTGAAACTCAGAAAGACACTTGAGGGTATTATGAGGGATTTAGATGACTATTTCTTGAAAGCATCAGCCGGTGCAACAGAAATAGCAGTTTTTACTGACATAAACATTGGAGACAATGCCGTTCCTTGGAAAATTAAGGAGAATAAGGGTAAGTAAACTTTTTCAACTCATATTACAACATTTTACTTCTTTGAAACACAACACTTATCGTTTTCTGAAAATGTACATTTATTTAATGTAAATTTATCTTATTCTGTTGAAATTGGGGTTTTGGGGGACACAGAGAGATTATTATATTGTTGTAAAATGTCTGAGAATCATAGAGAGAAAACTTTGGGGCGGGCCAGACAAAGGATTCAAAGTTCACCCAAATTTTTACACATTAAGAGTGAAGGCTTTTACAAATCTTGGGGTGGGACCAGGCTTTGGATAGACCCCCTACCTACGCCCCTACTGGTAGCTTTATTTTCAAATTGTTTTTTATTTTTGAACATTTTGATTTGCTATATAGGGAAGAGGAGCAGGTCTTCTAAGGCCCTTCCAGTTGGTAGAGATTCTGTTCTGTGTGGATCTAATGAGCCATGCAAGCCTGGCGCTCATCGCGTGACCCTTGATAAGCTTTATGTTGCAGAACAAAATCTTTTCAAGGATTTGGAGGTAAGAGACATACTTAGCATGTTCATTGCACTAATAATATAAGAATAATTGTGTTTTGCAGTTTATTCTGATCTTGAGTTCTGCCATGTTTCAATTTGAACTTTGCAATGTGACATACATACCCTTATAAGTTGAGAATTTTCTATCTCATAATTTCAGTGTAAGTGGAAAAAAATATGCTGTATGCTATATATGCTGTTTTAGGTTTTCATACCATTAATCTTTCTTTAGAAGGTTGTGGCAGTCACACTTGCATAGCTAGGATGCCAATCCAGGCCTCAGCCCATGTATATTCTATATAACAAAGAATATTTAAGTGGTAAAAACACTAAAATGAATGAATAATTGTCACTTCTATTGATTGTGGTTTCTCCATCTGTTTTGTTACTTTTGAATCTCCCATGTCTTTGTGAATTACATGCATTTTTTCAATTAGCAAAATAAAACTATTTGGAAAGTTTTGACTGCACGGTTGATGTTGTGTGGTTGATTGGCTTATCAATGTATTTTCCTCAAGCTTATTTGTGTGTGTTGTGGATTTGTGGTGTATGTTTATTAAGTCTTTCACACTTTTGTATTCTCATGGTTGATGGTGTGGATGATGACTGAACAGCTTGAAAGGAAACTGGCGGGGCTGCAGAATCAAGATGAAAACAGTTTAGAGACTTACAATGGGCTGCAAGAATCAATAAGCACAATCTCTTCATCTATTTTGGAGCTTATTGATGAAGAGCTGTACCCCCAATTGATTGCATTAACTTCAGGGTACATGTTCTGCCATTGTGCTGCATGTTTCTAATAGGATTTTCCCTTTCAAGTATTAGTAACTACCATTACAAAAAAGTGTAAATATCTTATTTTAGGACAGTCACTTGGCCAGTTGTCTGTTGGTAACTACGTTGGTGATTGGTCATGGTCACTTGACTGTTTGCAACTAAATTGATGATATATGTGTCCTAAATTTAAATATTAACATTTTTTAATAGTATTTTTGTTTTGTAATATGCTCTAACTTATTCATAGTATATATTCTAATTGTTCTCTCGTTAGTGCATTCCTAATGACCTATAAATGTGGTTGAAATTCAACTCTACCATCCTAGTCTTTTTTACAACACTGAATCATTGAATCATGGTTTTCTACTTTAAAGAAATGATCTAAGCTTTCCAAATGACAGGCTAATGGAGATATGGAAAATGATGTACAAATGTCACGAAGTCCAGAGCCATATTTCGAATCAGCTAAATCATCTCACTGAAAGTTTAAGCTTCGACAGAATAGCTGAATCCCATCATCAGGCTACTGCTCAGCTTCAAACTGAGGTTTCTTTTTGGTCACTAAGCTTCTCCAAGCTTGTAGTATCTCAGCAGGAGTATTTGAGAACACTCTGCAGCTGGATCCAACTCACCAATATCCTTGCGGACGACCATCAACAGAGTCATTGCTCTTCTGCTGTTCACCGCCTCTGTCAAGGATGGCAGCTTGGCCTTGAAAAGTTACCAGATAAGGTGAAGTTCTAATTTAGGAATAGTTATTTTTAAATAAGCCCGACGTCATTCAATATGGTTAGGAATAGGCGGGGACTTGGTCCCCGTTTTGGACATGTACTGGCCAGGTTTTTAAAGTGGAAACCAAACTGGGGACCAGACCTTAATCGGAACCCGTACGAGTAACTAGTTTTCTCTAGTGCAGTTATGGTCAGAATAGGATCCGACCAGCCGAGGTTAGTATCAGTTTTTGTTTTAAATATTATGAAATCGGGTATGAACCAAGCAGTAATAGGATCCGGAACCAGACTGTATTACCAGTTCAAGTTACTACTCCTTCCTCATGGGGGACCAAAACTGGCCAGCCCAGAACCGAACTGGAACTGGCCCGTCTCCACTGTCCACACTTAATTAGGAAGTCGATTTCTTTTACAGTGATGATATTTTGGTAAATTCTTGATATGAGATACTTCAGCACACTTCATCTGCTCATGTGTTCCCTTAGTATTCCTGGTTTCTCTAAGTAGGAGTATTATGTTTCCTCTAAATAGGAGCATAGTACTGCCATATCGTGACACTATCAAGCATAAATATAACAGTATTGATGCCTATGGCGGTATTATTTCACGATGACAGTACTTGCTCGGTTTGCCTATTTAGATAGAATATAGTATTCCTTTTTAGGTAAACCACCTTATTAAGTCACTTTACCTTTTTCACAAAAAGGGTGTAATGGGAGGGTGGCTTTTAATGAGGGCGTTTTCTTAAACTGAGCGATTTGTGAGTTGCAGGTGGTTGCAGAGGCAATCAAGAGTTTTATGTTGGCTATCCAATCCATAATCCAACAGCAGGGTGAGGAGCATAACCAGCGAAAAAAATGTGATAAGCTTGAGAAAAGGTTGGAGAAGGAGTTGAGCTCATTGACTGAGATGGAGGACAGATTTGAGGGTTTGGCAAGTGCAAACAACTCTGCTGCTGCAAGCCCAAAGCACCCTTTAAATTTGAAGCGTGCCAAAGTTGAAGCCTTGAAGAAGCAAGTTGACTTGGAGCAAGCCAAACACCTAAACTTGGTCCAAGTTTACAAGACTATGATTTTGAACCATTTCAAAACTAGCCTTCCAACTGTCTTTCAAGCGTTAATGACGTTTTCAAAAGCTTACACTAATGTTTTTGAGGCCATTCTCAGCCCACCCAGCTAGCTCTGAAGTCTATCTATTGCAAGTATTATGTAAACAACAGTGTTGAATTTGCTCAATTTCCCTGCTCGCCTTTTTGCCCAAATTGTAGCTAAAGCAAGGGGCAACATCCCAAATTTTAGCTGCATTACCTGCATATAGTTCTTCCAAACTATCATGATACCTTTAAACAAAGTCATTCGGTAATTATATTGCCGTAGGATCCCGACACATAATTGAAATACGTACGTTAACAATTACAATGCCAACTTTTAACCGAGCATTGAACTCTGTATATCAAAATAAATAGCTAAGTTTTCCATGCTCAAGTATTGGTTTTTGTAATGTTTTATGGATAAACTAGACTTAATGAAGAACATGTCCAAAAAATCATCAAAAAGTTCCACCGGGAATTGACCCAAACGGTGGCGGTCGGACTGAGATTCTGGTGCGGAATTCCGGACCTGGGCTTTTCTCTATATGCGTGTGTGTCTTATGTATTTTAAACTTGTTCTGTACGAGTTTAGTCGATGGGTTTCCAAAGCGGTGACTATCTCGACTATTGTTTCTCTCTCACTCATCTTTGTCATGTCCACGATGGGTTTCCAAAGCGATGGGTTTCTCTCTCACTCGTTCTTCCACGCAGTGACGGCCATATGGGGAGTTGGCCAAGGCAAATGCTTGGGCCTCATATTTCAGTGGGGCCTCAAAAAAATTATTTATAGTATAAATTATCTATTTTAATTTTAGTAATTTGGAAGCACAAATATCATGTTTTTGATATATTGATAGTCCAAAGATAGATAAAGTGATTTTAGCTCTAATTAAATGGTAGGCTCGTAGCAACTACTCCAACTAGCCACCATATTAATGAATTATTGAAGTAATGTTTAATTAGTTTGATGGTCGTAGTTATTTAGTTATTTTTTATTTTCACTGATTATTATTATATTTGTGAACTTTAGCTTTTTGCTGACTGCTTTATTTTTTATCTTTTTGTAAGTATGTTACTGGGGAAATTTAGAAGTACGACTAATCTTTTGGGAATAAAACTTGGAGGTTGTTGTTGTTGATGGCTATATTGTCATAAAAGAGTTAACTATATTCTAAAATTAAAATGAAAATGAGATCTTTTTAAATGAAACGTCCAAAAGAGACAAATGATAATTAATGTTTACTTGGGGCGGAGGAAGTGTAAGTTTTGGTCCATTTCGTGTATGTTTACCTTTAAAAATTTTTATTATTTTGATGTTCACTACTCTTTGAATATGCATTTTTTCTTTTATCGTGTATTTTTATTCAATTTACCTTTTTTTTTGTCATTTGTGTTGTAAAAATCACATTAATACTTCGTAGAATAATATGATTTGTGTATTTATCTTTTTTACTCGTAGTATAATACTCCGTAGTCCGTATGTCAATATTAAATGTTTTTCCTCTGGGGCTTCCGAAGTCGTAGAGACGCCTCTGCTTCCACGTGTTTGTCTAACCGCCATAATCCACCGTGTGTGACAGACACTGAATATGCTACACTCTACTGTTCTCCGCACTCGCATACTTCTCAAATGCAATTGACATCTCAACAAAATTTCATGGAGAACGCTTTCCGTGATTAACTCTCAAAATTTGATTCCGCAGCCATGGACGCCTCCACGCAGCTCGTCGATTCTCTGCGTTGCGCCTCCCTGCCGTCTCCTAAACCGTTCGCCCCCCTTTTTAAGGAAGCACAATACCACCGTTCATTTCCGATTACCCGGAGAAGGAACGCCGTCGTGCGTGCAATTGCGACTGAGCCTAAGCCTTCGGACACCAAGCCTTCTCCGTCCAAGGTAGTCAAACGAAGTGTAAATACGACGTCATCTCGACCAGTCATCGGATTCCCCAGTGGAGTCTCCACAGTAAGGTTCTAGCTCCAATAAATCAGACTTCCCTTAGAATGTGAGAAGAAAAGTCTGTAATCAAAACTAAAAGTTGAACTTAAATCTTAATACTTTGCCCAATTTAGCGCATGTTAAAACGCAACAAACGTAATAAATGGGGTATAATAAGTCCAATGTTGACGGTTACTGGGAAATCTTATGAACCTTAGTTGATGCAGATCAGAGATACTATTTCGTCGTAGAAGTCACGATTCTAAATTCTATCTAATACTCTATTGAGAAATGCGGTGGAAGGTCTGTTTGTAAAATAGCGTACTGTTATTCTAAAATAATACTATCCCTCCCTCCCATAAAATTCTTCCCACTTTGTGATTAAGAAACTGGAAATGTATGGTTGGGGTTGTGGGAAGAATTTTATGGGACGCGGGTGGTAATAATAATAATACTCCGTAATTAGAAAGGCTTTCTTAGCAAATGCTATCATAATAAACATAAAAACGGACTCGTATATAGATTTCTTCAGTGCTTCAGTTTTTTGCTCATTAGTATCAAATATTAATTTCAACCTTTAGATATTCAACCTGTTCAAAAAAAGTGACAAGACCCACTTCCAGTCCTTTAGAAATGATTTCGGTGTCAAGACTAACTCATCATTTTAAGTGGATTCTGCATTTACTAACTTCTGTGAAATCGGATTGCTAACACGATTAACTATTGATATTAACATTTCATGTTAATCACCTAAAAAAGTTGGACCTTTGAATAAATTTTAGGCTAAAAACTGGAATGCTCTATGTTCTACAGTCTACACGCATGTAATTTATGTAGTAATGTGCCTGTTAGTGCAATTGTTTGTGCTTATGGTATTAGATTGCGGATACTAGAGAATACAGGATGTATCACAAGAGATCAAGAGAGTACGGGCTCAAATGGAAGAAAATGAAGAACTGGCCATACTTATGAGGGGGCTTAGAGGTCAAAATCTGAAAGATTCTCTATTTGCAGATGACAATATTAAGCTTCGCCTGGTTGAGGTATGTGCTTGACAACCCTTGTTAAAATTCTCACTTCTGTTTTATAAGTGTGACTGTGTGAGCCTTAAACTCCGAACAGTAGGTTTTATTGACTACTTTAGATGATTTATCTGTGGGTTGATCAGTAAATGTTACTAGCCATCACAGTGTTTACGTATACTGTAATATCTCATGCTCGCTGGAAACAATTCTTAACTAGGCAGAGAAATCACATAAACTATACAGAATCTAAAGATTTAGATTGTATATGTTTTTAAATTTTTAATAGATACTTTATGTTAGTCTCTTTGTCTGATTTTCATCAGATTGCTATAAGGTTAACTATGCAGTATGCACAGGCTGTGTAGTTAGTAATTCGATTTCTTTAAATTGTTGAAGTGTTGAACTTTTGACTAGTACATATTGTCCATAATCTAGAATGTGGTCAGCTATATACTATTCATACATATAAAGTAGGGTAATAAGTAATATGAGGCTTGATTTTTTTATTTTCTATTATTTTCCATGAAAGTTATAAGGTTAGTAAGCAATCAGAAAAAAAAAGAAATAAAACAAGTTATTTTTATAGAAAGTGATTAATAAAATGAAACCCTGTTGATTACCAGCAAGTATGAGGTGATTGTGTCATTCCTTACATTTGACCTCTAACACAAATGATATTGACATGTATGTAACGGTACCATGTTTTCTATTCAGTGTTGGAGACTCGGAGTATCTTTATCATCTTTCATTTCATAATCTTTTTAGCTGGAAAAACTACTTCATGGGAAAATTTCTCTCCCTACAACCCTACATAATGAGCTGTTTTTTGTAATTTTTAAGGTCGATGAGAGCAGCGAGTTCCTGCCTTTGGTATATGAACCTGCCAGCATTGCTGCATATTGGGGGAAAAGGCCACATGCTGTTGCAACGCGCGTTGTGCAACTATTGTCTGTTGCTGGAGGGTTTCTTTCACGCATTGCCTTTGATGTAATAAACAAGAAATTCAAGGAGGTGAGCCTTCAATGTCATACTATTACGTGCTGAGCTACGTTTTATGTTCCTTGATCAACTGATTGAGGAAAATAGCATCGATATATATTGCTGCTTGTTTTCCTTTAACATTTTATTGGACACCATTCACTTGAGAGTTTCAAGCTGAAGACAAGTCCTAATACTCATCATTAGTCAAGAGGCTTTTCTATGGCTAATTTTGCTTGGCAGTTTTTCTGGAGTTTGCACAAGGCATGCCCCATTTTGTTATCTGTAACTCCTTGATACGTCTTTCTGGATTTGCATTAGTTGAAGCCGTTATTCCTCACTCCCAAAAATATTGTACAGAAACGTTAAAAATAAATATCGATTCAAATAAAGAAATAAGTAAGAAGGTATCACTTTAACTGGCCACTGACTGAAGTCAAGCAAAACTGTAGCGATTATTGGTGCAGTTTAAATCACTATAGTACATTGCCTTGATACTTATGATTAGATTGACTAGATCCTGTTCTTTGACATGGTTATGCTTTTCACTTCACTGCTCAGTTTGCATCAGAATGATCTCAAAAAGATGATGCACAGTACCTACTTGCTGGGTTATACTTGCCGGTGCTCTTCACAATGATGCAAGCACATGAGATTTTTTATGGGAAAGTTCCCGAAATAGGACTAAAACAGTTTGAAAATTCCAAAATAGGACTGTCATGTTTTTTATTCCCTAAATAGGAGTAATTACTGTTAAGTTTAGAAAATACTGCCATGTTTGAAGTCTGATACTGCCAAAACATGGCAATAATTAGTCCTATTTTAGGAATAAAAACATGTCAGTCCTGTTTTGGAATTTTCAAAACTTTTTAGTCCTATTTCGGGTAATATTCTCATTTTTTATTTGGAGTTTTTAGTAAACTATATATTATTTTCTCTATACACATCCTCTAACATTATTTTCTTCAACCTACAATTAGAATGAGGTTGCTCGAGCTATTGAACTGAGGGAGATTGTGACATCACTGGGTCCAGCATACATTAAGCTAGGGCAAGCATTAAGCATCCGGCCTGATATATTGTCACCAGCTGCAATGGTTGAGCTTCAAAAGCTCTGTGACAAGGTAAGAATGGAGGTTCTTATTTACCAACTATTCTTTTTCTCTATTTCATGCCCTTTGATCTGCCAATATTGTAGATTCTCGTGTACTTCTATTTGCACACTGTTTGGATATTCAGCCAATTCAGTTCTCATTTACTTTTGTAGCTTTTCTCATTCTTCATGTGATGCATGTATTTTACGAGTTTATTAAATAAATACTAGATATTACATTACATATTTCCAGGCTCCATAAAATGAGATTCTCGTAAATGTAACATGATGCCTCAACATTTTTTAGGAGATAAATCTAAATAAAATGTAGTTACCTAGTTTTTTTTGTGATTGGTGTTGGATTTCATGAGTTGACCATATGGATATATACTCGTATACTCCCTCCGTCCCGCTAAGATTGTCCCATTTTTCCTTTTCAGGAAGTCCCACTAAGATTGTCCCACACTAAATTTAGTAAAGTTGTGTGGCTCTAGATCATTTTTACTTTATTCTTACTTTGTCAATTCAATATCAACCACACAACTCACTTTTCTTAATAATTGTGCCACCCCTTCTTGTCCCAATGTTAGTGGGACGGAGGTAGGACTATATATAATTCACACCTACGTGAGATTTTGAATATCTATTTCCCAACAGCATGCCTAGAGTGACTCATCAGGGAAGAAATTCATTTATACTGCATATGATAATATTGATGGCTTACTATATAAAACTATTAAGAGGGGAGATTAATGCCTATCAGCAGTGACATGAAGACTGTTAAAGTACATGTGAAGCACTTTGTTTATTAACCTTTCATTACCATGCCTTAAGGTTCCATCATTTCCGGATGACGTTGCTATGACCCTAATTGAGACGGAACTTGGACAGCCATGGTCTAACATATATTCAGAACTTTCTCCCTCCCCAATTGCTGCAGGTAATGTCAATAACCATTGAACTTTACTTATTTGTTTCAAATTATGTAGCTTAATATTTAGATTTGAAATAATTTGATTCTGTCTCTAGTTTTCCTTCGTACTTTTCGTTAATCGTTACCTCCACCCTTTTTGGAATATAGTGTTACATGACTTGCATCTGCATAGCCTCTAATTTTATGCTTATGTTTTGGTGTGTGTTTCTCCTTTTACCATAGGGGAAAAGCTGTTGAAATAATACTCTAGCTGTAAATTCCTACCTGGTTCTTAGGCTCATGTATTTTTTTTCTGCATTTATGGAAATTCGTTGGCAGCGTCTCTAGGACAGGTATACAAGGGCCGACTCAGAGAGAATGGAGATTTGGTAGCTGTTAAAGTACAGAGGCCATTTGTCCTTGAGACTGTTACGATTGATTTATACATTATCAGGACGTTTGGTCTTGCCCTTAGGAAATTCCCCCAGGTAATATGGTTGATTTTCACTCATTGCCCTTTCAATTTCATTCATTTTGTGTATGAGCTGGTTGATTGTAGCAGTCATGATGCATTTTCCTTTTTCCTTCAAGATTTCTGTTGATGTGGTTGGATTAGTAGATGAATGGGCTGCTCGCTTCTTCGAAGAACTTGATTACATTAATGAGGGAGAAAATGGAACACTTTTCGCGGAGATGATGAAGAAAGACCTTCCTCAGGTAACGGGTTAGCATCACTCACTCACTCGGTCATCATCACCTCAATTACAGATCCCCAACTACATTGGGTTGGTAGCGTAAAAGTTACATTACTGGAATATTTTTTAAATTAGTATAGCTTCTCTCAGGTTGTTGTACCTGCAACATATCAAAAGTATACTTCCAGGAAGGTTCTTACAACACAATGGATAGAGGGAGAGAAACTGTCACAAAGTACAGCAAGTGATGTTGGGGATTTGGTAAAGGTTGGTGTGATATGCTATCTTAAGCAGGTATTTAGCTTTTAAAGGTTATATTATGTAGACTCTTCAGATCTATTGACATCATTAACTTCCATTGTACCCTTCCCTGCTTGATGATAACCAGTTAATTGCTTTTCATTTTATCTACAGCTCCTTGACACAGGTTTTTTCCATGCTGATCCTCATCCAGGGAATTTAATACGCACTCCAGATGGAAAGCTAGCTATACTCGATTTTGGTGAGTGATGTTATGCAGAGTTATACTTAGGAGTTAGGATGTATACTTCTTTCTGAATAAGTTCCTTTTATGAGGTTGGTTTACATAATAAGACATTGAACTTTTCTTTAGCTTATAAATTACCAATGGCAGCATGCTCAGGTTTGCTTTTTTCACCTATAGGATTGGTTACGAAACTAACAGATGATCAAAAATACGGGATGATTGAAGCTATAGCGCACCTTATACACAGAGATTATGGTGCTATAGTCAAGGATTTTGTGAAGTTAGGTTTCATTCCAGGAGAGGTAAACTTGGAACCAATCTTGCCAGTGCTGGCTAAGGTTTTTGATCAAGCGCTTGAAGGCGGGGGAGCAAAAAGTATAAACTTCCAGGAGTTGGCATCTGATTTGGCACAAATAACATTTGATTATCCGTTTAGAATACCCCCTTATTTTGCTCTAATCATCCGGGCAATAGGAGTTCTGGAGGGCATTGCCTTAGTAGGAAATCCTGACTTTGCCCTTGTGGATGAAGCCTATCCATACATTGCACAGGTAGTAATTAGTGCTTCTTTTCAATGTACTGGTTAATGTTTTCAAGGAGCCCATAGTAATCTTAGATTCTTAGTGAGTACTCTCTCAGTACCCAAAAGACGAGGCATGCTTGAGTAAGGTACAGTTGTTTTGCCAATTCAATCAGGGTACAAGTTTCTACAAATAATGATAGGTCACTTATATTACCCTAAAAGGCTTAAACTATTCAAATACTGTAGTCATTTTGACTAAAAAACGATTGTTGTCTGTTTACAGGAATTTTACCGTAAAATGAAAGTTCACTTTTAAAAACAAGCTTCATTTTTTCGGGACTCCATAAGTTCTTGAAACAACACTCATTTTGTGTAGGATGGTGGGAGTATATATCATTTTTATAGATAGGATTAGGGCTAAGTGAACATAATATTCAGCGTATAGCTCGGGGTTCATTTAGTGAGTGTTTCTGTTTGGTTAATGAAGTGAACAATAAATGAGCAATGAGAAACTCGGGTACTAATTGAACACAGCTTGAACAATGAGAAACTCATTACATAAAGTTTGTGAACATCTTGATTGTTGTTCGTTAAGCCTGTGCATGAACAATTTTGATTAAAACTTGTATAAGGGTGACTGTAAGTGATCATATATATATATAAAGGGTCTGGTTCCAATAGAAAATGGTCTTCTCGTGCACAGTGCGAACATTTCCACTTCTGATCATTTGCATTGCACTATTGCATTAAGATGATTTTTGCTATCCACTTTTGATTGTATACGGTACAATATTGCATACTGAAAGTGCACCTTTTGCAATGAAGAAACAGTTTGATTTATTTGCGAAAATGTCACTGCGTTTTCCATCCATTTTATGCATTTTTGACATATTTAGAACCATTAGATCATAAATCTAATGCTCCAGATTTATTCTTACTTTTCATGGGAGGAACTCTTTTTATTTGATCCAATATATATATATATTATCATTTTCATTTACCTCAGTGCCGCAAAGGCTCCCACCTATGGTGGGGTAAGGGGGGGTCGGATGTACGCAGTCTTACCCCTGTACTGAAGCACAGAGAGACCGTTTCCGGATGACCCATAGTGAAAATCCCATCCAAAATTGCATGGACCGACTGTTGCTTCATAACAAAGAAGCGCAGACAGTTTAGTGAGCCATTTTGCTTTATCCCATCATAATCTCAAGCCAAAAAATAATGAATCTTTGGCTCCATTGCAAGTGTGTGTGTGTGCGCGCGTGCGTGCGTGTGCATGTGTGTGTGTACCCACATGCATACATCTCCAGTACCTACCCCGCCTATTTTGGTGGTCTGCCACTGGGATTAAAATCAAATAAAACACACACACCTCACATGCATACACACACATGACACATCACACATGCATATGTATTATATACAATAGTATATGATTTGTAATTAATGATATGGGCTTATTGTTTTTATATTTTATTAATCTGAGAAATATTGTTTATATGTTCATTTCATGGTTTGTCAAGGGTAGGGCAGGGCATGTTCATTTGTTCATCTGTTGTTTGCAAAGAAGCTAGCTATAACTTGAAAGAGCTTGTTCATGAACAATAAGAATGGACATGAACCCATAAAAGTTTAAGCTCAGTTCGTCTTTATTAATATCCTGTCAGTAAACTAGTGATCTTAACCAGCCTAAGTATTTAACAAACAGTTTAAACTAAAGCTCTACTCAGCACCTCTGCTCGTGCTCATTGTATTATTACAACTCTAGACAGGATGTAATATATGTGCCAGAAGAAAGCTATACAGTTGTACATTTGAGTTTGTATAGACTAAAGTTAACACAGCTCTTCCTTATCTATAATACAGAGGCTTCTTACAGATGAATCTCCACGTTTAAGGAACGCCTTAAGGTATACAATATATGGAAAGTCTGGTATTTTTGATGCTGAAAGATTTATCGATGTCATGCAAGCATTTGAGAATTTCATAACAGCCGCTAAGAGTGGAGGTGGGGAGAATATGAATGGGAGAATGGCTGAACTTGGAATCATACAAAGTGGCCCATCAAATTACATGCTTCCTGCTTTCCCTTGGACAGCTCCAGAGGGGTCTCGGGAGCCTATTAAGACTAGAGCAGCCTTGGCATTTCTAGTATCTGAAAAGGGGAATTTTTTCAGAGAATTTCTTTTAGACGAGGTATATTTTCAAAGTTACAGGGAAATGTTATTGTTCCCATCTTATTGTTAATATTTTTGTCCGTTCTCATGTTTAAATTTTTCTTATTTCCCAGAGAAAATATTACTGTTTGATAAAACCAAGGTATTTTTTCTAGAATTTTAAGGTGTTGGTCAAGTTACATACATCAAATTTAGTTAAACCACTAAATATAACAAGTAAAGAGATTATGATTCATGATTTATATTAGATATCTTAACCCAATTAATGCATAAATTAAACAACTATTTTTGGGGGGAAGGTAACGCGTCAGTCATATATATGTTGTTAGATTCTAAATACATGAGTGGATCTCTGCTTGATATTAAGCAGATTGTGAAAGCAATTGATGCAGTTACAAGGGAACAATTGAGGCAGATAATGATGGTACTTGGAGTACACAATATATCTCCCGTTTTTAGCATGGTTCCTACTTTGGGGCTTACCAGACCAGCTTCTCTTCTGCCTACAATAACTGAGGAGGACAGAGTGATATTAAACAATGTGCAAAAGGTAGTTGGTTTCTTAACAATGGGGACTGCATTTTCATCAAGTCAGGTACTTTTGATTTTTTCCTCTTGAAAAACAAACTGTTCACACTTTACATACATTTTATAATCGTACATTTTAACTTGTTCAGTATTCATGTACTACATTGTACTTTAATAATATTTTTTTACTAACATGTACTCGGTATTTCCAAAACACAGAGTATCATTTTTTTTTTAATTTGTACTAATTCATACAACAAAATCCAAGCCTTAATCCCAAAAGAATTTGGGGTCGGCTAACATGAATCGATCTATGATATCGATGCCAAAAAGAGAAGGCGCACAAGAAAAGGAAAAAAAAGTAAGATAAAATGAATAAAATAAAGATACATAAATATAAGATAACAATAACACAAGAATATAACCAAGATAAAAGAAAAATAAATAAAAGAGCATAAAAAAGCTAGAAGATAAAAATAACATAAGAATATAAAAAGATAAGGAAGATAAACGATAAAAGAAACAAGAGAGGAAAGGTAGACAAGACATCAATCATCCACATGGATGTGCGCCCTCCGCTTTGCTCTCTCCAAAGCCATACTCTCATCCAACCCAAGAAGACGCATATCAGTTCTGATTACTCAAATCCAAGTCTGTTTGGGTCTTCCCCTCCCTCTCTTCTCTGACTCTTCTCTCCACCTCTCAAGTCGTCTAACAGGTGCATCACTCGGTCTAGCAATATTCATATTTCGATTCATGTCATGTGATGTGACTAAGTGATACTGTTGGCCGTCACGCGCCTACCACAGGACCCTCCTCCTTTATCCTGGCTTGGGACAGGCATGATATCAAAAAAATGATCTCATGGCGGAGTTGATTTGTACTAATTCATCATTTTCATTTTCATTTACCCCAGTGCCGCAAAGGCTCCCACCTACGGTGGGGTAAGGGGGGGTCGGATGTACGCAGTCTTACCCTTGTACTAAAGCACAGAGAGATTGTTTCCGGATGACCCATAGTGAAAATCCCGTCCAAAATTGCATGGACTGACTGCTGCTTCATGACAAAGAAGCGCAAATAGTTTAGTGAGCCATTTTTCTTTATTCCATCATAATCTCAAGCCAAAAAATAATGAATCTTTGGCTCCATTGCAAATGATGGAAAGTGATTTGTACTAATTCATAATTAGATAAATTAATAATCGAAGTCGTGTATTTGCAAAGTGAATTTCAAGGGTAGAAACTTAGCATGCAGGACATCCTGAACTAGAATACTAGTAGTATTTACTCACAAGTCAATTTGTTCTTTGGTCATCTCGAAACTAATTTGGGGTATATACCAAGAAAGTTAACCAATCTTTCATGAATTGATCAGGCTCCGGTTCGAATAGATGCTGGTGAGCTGGCTAGTTCATAAAAAAAATGAGTAGTAAAACATTTAATTTGTGATTTTGATGTGTTTTTATTATATCAAAATATAAACATATCTCATATTTGAATAAACCTATAACTTTTAGTAAATCTGTTACATTAAAAAAATCAATAAAATGAGAAATATTTCAGTTATAATTTATAATTATAATGCTCTGTAAATAAACCTGAGCTCCTGTGTGTGTGGGCAGGGAGTGAATGTTGCAGGGGCAATTCAGGAACTCCTCCCAGTGCTGCCGGGGCTATCAGCTAAAGTGCTACCTGAGGTTATCAGCCGATTATCTTTAAGAGTAGTTGCGCGTTTGATACGAGAGACACTGTTGTAAATCTATATTATTGTGTGGATGTTGCGATTCACATACGTACTAACGTACCTATATCTGTACTTTTATATCTATATCTGGCGGAGGGGTAACAGTAACACACCTTGATTGAATCATCTTATAATGTATCCAACCAAATGTAGACTACCTGTATATAGTGTAATCAATGTAAATCACCAAATCCTGCTTGCTTTTAGTTTTTCTTTGAATTTTTCCATTATTACAAGGTGCATTGTCACTGTGGTTATATATGCATGCTAGGCACACACACATGCCCACACGCTGAAGTTGTGTTTGCTTCCATTTGTAAAAGTGCTTAATTCTCATAAATTGCAATTACGAATTTACGATCATAATTTACAAAGTACAGTTCATTCAAGATAATAGGGATGTACTCGTACAAGAGAGTGATGAATATTCTTCCATCCAGATAATCTGAGTGATAATAGGATCATAAATAGTGTACGGTTCTTGAATTTATTTCTTCCAACAAACTGTGGATGCCGTTGTGCTAGCTGCCACATTGAATATTAGATTAGATGTACCCAAGCCGATATTCTAAAAAATGACTGGTGACCTGTCGTAATGATGCACGAAGGTGAGAGTAAGGATGGACTAGATCCACAGACCCAGTTAGTATTTTTGTGGACTGGAACTGGCCAGTCCAGTCCGGTCTTTTTATACTTTTATATTTTATTTTTGCAATTAAGGCTTATAAGAATTTTAAAATATGTATAAATTCATGACCTTTTTATTCCAATATTACTAAAATGAATGAAAAAGACAAAATTGTAACTTGTTTTATTTTTTTCCAAAAAAGTGACTAAAATTCTAAAAAACATTTATTCCTACTCCCTCCGTCACTAAAAGAATTGTCAAGTTTGACCGGCACGTAGAATAATAAAGTAAAAACTGTGTGGTATAGATTTATGCAGAGGAGAGAGAAATAACAGGAATCACAAATTTATTAACTAAAAGGGAAAGTGACAAGGTTTTTTAGACAACCAAAAAAGGAAAGTTGGCAAAGTTATAAGGAACGGAGAGAGTATTATTTAATCATACATTTATTATTTTAATAATATTCCTTTGCAGCCACCAGCTCCTCTGTGTCCGCCGACCTCACCGCCGCCGTTGCTCCGGTCACAGTGACTCCGGTCACAGTGATTTCGGGCACATTGATTCCGGTCACAGTGACACTCCGTCACAGTGATTCCGGTCACAGTGACACTCCATCACAGTGACACGCCGTCACAGTGACACGCCGTCACAGTGACACGCCCTCTCCGGCCATAGTGACCCGCCGTCCTGTACCCCAGCCCACAGCCCCCTCTATGCCCGAGCTCTACACACAAAATCCCAACCCAACCCTGTTTTAGCAATTTTTATGCTAATTCAAACAATCAATTGAATAAAGGAAAGATAATGGGCTACATGCAAGAATCAAGACGAAAAGCAAAAAGAATATGATTATTGTTTTAGCTAATGACTACTTGGAGGACTTATGATGGGAATATGTAAGAATTAAGAATATGAAATAAAATGGGTTTTATTATAATAAGCTCAATATAATGAGAATAGCATTGATAGAGCAACAATGTGGATCGTAATTCAAAGAGAAGTTCTCTGCCCCCCAATACAAGAGTGCTCCTTCCTTTATATTATGCTCCCAGAGAGTCATTTGCACCGGTTGTTTAGCCAAGCTACTCCACTCCTCCAATTTTGGTGGGTTGTTAGTGGAGCTATTCTATTCCTCCAATTTTGGTGGGTGGTTAGTCGTGCTTATCTTCTATTCAAAAATGGTAACCACTAAAGGACCTTCTATCTTTATCTGATTGTATCGCTTGCCGGACTAGACTGATTGGATTAATATTTGATCGTGGGCCGCACCTTTGTTTAATCCTTCAATTATTTCATGGCCCAACAATTGCCCCCTTTCGAGAAGTTGAGGCGTATGGATGCACCTTGGAATCTCGATGTTCATGATGTGTCGTCCGAAAGGGGAATCTGCGTAGCAAGCCTGTGAAGCGACGTCCAAAGGTGGTGGAACCCCGGGTATGCCATTGATCTTCTCTCGCATTTCTCTTAGCTCTTCCATGATGACGGCTAAGGGGTCTGTTGGATATGCTTGCATCTGTCTTGTCGTCAAGGTTGGTGGTGTCATTGCGTGGGTTGCCCCCTGGCTAGTCGGCGATGGTATAATGATGACTTCGGGATCTTGTTGTCTCTGGTTGTTGATGTCGACATGTCTTGGAATGTCGACATGTCTCGGAATGTCGACATGTCGAGGGATATCGACACGGTCTGGAACTCGTCGTCTCTGAGGTTCTGCAAACGGGTTGTGGAACACATTCCGTCTAGGATTGGGAAGGGGAATAGATCGATTTGACGGTTCTGGTTCTCCGTACATCTCGGTCCCCGAGCGAGGAATGAATGGTTCCGTTGGAGCCGGAGTGAAGCCTAGGTCCAACCTACTAACATCAGTCATAGTGTCGCTCCTTCGATTGTTTCTTGAATTAGAGGCTATGGAAACTGCCGATTGCACCTGGGATCGTAGCACATCATTTTCTCGCTTGAGGTGATCCATCCGTTCCGCCACTTCACGCCGGATTTCTTCTTTCATCGCCTCTAATTGCTTATGAAACTCGATCATCATCTCATTGCTCGTTGCTTCCATGGAGAATAAATTTCTTGCACGATTTCCCACAGACGGCGCCAAATTGTTTTAGCAATTTTTATGCTAATTCAAACAATCAATTGAATAAAGGAAAGATAATGGGCTACATGCAAGAATCAAGACGGAAAGCAAAAAGAATATGATTATTGTTTTAGCTAATGACTACTTGGAGGACTTATGATGGGAATATGTAAGAATTAAGAATATGAAATAAAATGGGTTTTATTATAATAAGCTCAATATAATGAGAATAGCATTGATAGAGCAACAATGTGGATCGTAATTCAAAGAGAAGTTCTCTGCCCCCCAATACAAGAGTGCTCCTTCCTTTATATTATGCTCCCAGAGAGTCATTTGCACCGGTTGTTTAGCCAAGCTACTCCACTCCTCCAATTTTGGTGGGTTGTTAGTGGAGCTATTCTATTCCTCCAATTTTGGTGGGTGGTTAGTCGTGCTTATCTTCTATTCAAAAATGGTAACCACTAACGGACCTTCTATCTTTATCTGATTGTATCGCTTGCCGGACTGGACTGATTGGATTAATATTTGATCGTGGGCCGCACCTTTGTTTAATCCTTCAATTATTTCATGGCCCAACAAACCCCCAGGCCCTACCCCTAGCCCTAGCCCTAGCCCCTAGGCACCAGAACCCTTCCTAGCTCCTAGCCCCCTATGCCCTGTCCCCGACACCCTCCCCTGCACCACCCCTGTCGTTACCTCAGGCCGAGCTCCAACATCGACTCATCGAGGATGGTGGATCCGGCAGATCCGGCATCAATTGAGCCAAAATCTTGGTCGTCTTCCACCTATGTTGACGGATCCGAAACTGCTAGCCCCAAATCGAGTCGTGCAGCCCCAAATCGAAGCCGTCACCGGAGAAGAAGACGAACGGTTACCGACGATGGAGAAACGAAGTGGCGGAGGAGGGGAGCGGCAAAGGCGACGATGGGGTTGTTGTGGCGGTGGAGAGATAAGCCTTGAGGGTGAGGAGGTTCGTGTCCTGCGTCGACGGCTGCTCCCGCGGAAGGGGAAGTGTGATGGCGGAAAAAGAGAGGGGAGTGTGAATGTGTGATGGCGGAGAAAGAGATGGGTAGATCTGTAGGGCTGGGTTGGTCTTGTACGAAGATTGGAAAAAGGATCACATTTTTTGAAAAGGTCAAATTGGTTACTTCCTCCGTTCCATAAAAATTTCAACATTGAAATTTCTGCATTATTCACGCACCTTACTTTGATTACGATTTTCTAATAATATATATAATAAAAATATTATGTATCAAATATTAATAAATTTATATTAATGTAAATTTCCAATATATTAACTTTTTTAAATGTTTACTAATACGTAAATAAATATAATTACAGTCAAACTTTTTTAAAGTTGCGCATTGGCAAACGTGAAAATCAAACTGTTGCAACTTTTATAGAACGAAGGATAATATATTTTTGGAAATGGAAAGTGGGGTAGTCAAGCGGCTGCCATTATTTCTAAATCCATTTAAAAGCTAACAAAGAGTAGGGAGGGGTCGGGAAGCTTTAATAACATACGGACTGAAATATAAAAACAAAAACGGGACCGATCGGGGGATCAGAACTTGAGGTCTGATTCCACACACCCACACCCAGACCTGCGGCGTGTTGAGTCTGTTGACGCATTAAAATCATAAGTGTGTTAACTCGAGTCACTCATGTCAGAATTCTTTGAAGGACCCGAGCCCGAATCGCCATCCCACCGGGCCGGGTGACCTGAACCGGTCAACCAACCGGTTCACCGGGCCGGTCCGGGCCCGCACAGTAGCGAGCCGGTCCGGTTCCGGGCCGGTTGGCTCGACCCGAGTCCACCCCTAATGTGAAATATGAACCAATATATAATTGAATATAAAGTTGCAATAAACACGTATCATAGTTCAAGCGTGTGTTACAAACTTGCAATAAAAGTTCTATTCCTTTTGAATTAGTCCCGTTAATTGATTTATTAGTTTGTTTAAGGCATGTATTCGTCCTTTTATTATTACAGAACTCTTCTATTTAAATCTTGGGTAAAGGGTCAGATAGGCCCTCGAACTTACATAAAAATGTCAAATAAACCCTTATATAGGAGGCTCTGTCCGGCCATCATTATTTGGTGTGGTTCCTGGTGGAATTTGTTGATGAAATTTTTTGAGCATCGTATTCATTAAGTCTAGTTTACTCATACCAGATTCCAGCTAAAACTTCAATCGGGAAGGCATTCAAATGAATTCTTGAAGATAACTGCGTAGTTAAAAGCGCAGTTATCTTCAAGAATTCATTTGAATGTCTTTACGATTGAATTGTTAGCGGAAATTTGGTATGAGTAAACTAGACTTAATGAATATGATGCTCAAAATATTTCATCAAAAAAATACACTGGGAACTGCCCCAAATGGCGATGATCGGACAGAGCCTCCTATATAAAGACTTATTTGATTTTTTTATGTAAGTTCGAGAGCCTATTTGACTCTTTTTCCTTAAATCTTTATAGGTACTCAATAAGTATACAAATTTTATTTTAGCTTGGAAAAATATAGTATTCATGTTTTGTTTCTGAATTCATGATTTGCATTTCAATACAAACAAGCATCATAGATTTAGTGCTTATTGATAGTTCTCCCTTAGAATGATCAATTAGTTGGTGATGTTTTTTGTTAGTTTTCTAAACCCCTCCTCAAAAGTGACCTTTTAAAAAAAATCCGAAAATGTGATCCGCTATGGTAACGTGCTACAATGACAAATTTACAGTGACAATTCTACAGTGACGAAAGTCACAGTTAGTCATATAATTAATTACATCACTAGTTACGTGCCGAAAGTGACGAATATTATCATAGTGACTAACATTATAATTAAATTAATTACAATTATATTAGTGGCAATTACATTTTTTTCACTAATTACATTTCTCCGGTTATAGTTACATGTTGTCTGGTGATTAACGCCCGCTAGTCGTGAAATGTCCGCCATCCGTCCCGTTGCTGCCCCATCCTGTTCGGTGATTGACGCCGCCACACTCTTCCTTCCTGTAACTGCCACCACCGCCGGCAACCGCCGTCTAATATGAGTTTTCTCGCAGTTAAAATATGTAGCAGTATAGAGCTAAAGTACGAGTATCGTCTCCACAAGGACAGAAAATGGGAGTAAGGAATTAACTAAATTCAGCTATTAAAATAAATAAATAAATAAAATGCGATGTGAGAGATTGGATTTTTGGAAAATAAAAAAATGCGAAAAAGCAATTAAACTAATGGATTCTTTCTAATTAATGACGTAAGGGAATAGATATTGATTCTGAGGTAATCAGATTTCGGGGCTGATCAGACTTAATCACATGAAAATTATTTAATTGAACAGCGCTGGGCAATACTAAGTTATTACCGCTCTCGTGGCGAAGAGTACAATAATTTAGGCAACCAGACTGATTTCTAATGTGACAAGTTTCTAAATTATTGTCAAAACGCGCGAGCGTACGGCTTCCTAATCGTTACTAATCTCTTAGCGAACGATTAAGTGTGTGTGAAAGTGATGGATAGTGTACCCGTGGGGTAGCTTATCCGAGGGGTTATTATGGGGAGTAATAAGAGAGAAGTCAGAACAAGTAAATATAGAGAGAGAAAGTATATTATAAGTGTGGAGCGTTTTCAGCGTGGTTACAAATGGGGAAATGGGGTGCTATTTATAGTAGCAATAAATGCCGGACAGGGGCACGTGTCAAACGCCCATTGGCCGAGAGGTCACCTCAACTGGTTGGCGCTGGCAGCCGCATGTGGCCGCATTTAATGCGGCTGTTGGATGGGACATTGTACAGGGTACGGTGATCTGTACGCATGTGGCGCGGATATTATGTCGGGAGAGGTGCCTCGGCTGCAGAGAACTAGCCGAGGGCTCTGAGTGTCGGGGACCCCCTGGGTGCCGAGGGCTCCAGGTGCTGAGGGCTACTGTTTTCTGCCGTTTTTCTCCCAGTTTCTTAGTTTGCTTGAAAACCCATTCTGCGAGAGTTTTGAGCCTTCGGCCAGGGGGCCGAAGGCTACCCAGTGTGCGTTGTGGGCTGCTAAGTGCTTGGGGCGCCGTAATTTGGGGCCTGCTGTGCTTCCTGGGCCGGTTGGGCCTTTATTGGTGTAGTAGGAGTCTGTGGGCCGGGGGTTCCCGGGCCATATACTCCATCAGGAGTCCCTCACTCCTTTTGCCGAAAGGTACTTGAGGGGAAAGGAGTAATTTGTGCTTGTCCTCTGCCGTTGTTTCGTCGTAATCTCTGAGGTTGGTGAGGAGTTTGTTGCTTTCATGTCTCTGCCGAAGGAAGTCCCTCAGTTACCCACATGTCGGGACTTGAGGGATTGCTTTGTCGTTTGTTGGGATTTTTCACCATTTTGTAATTTAATGATTTTCCCGGGGGGGGGGGGGGGGGGGTCCTCCAGTCCCCCACTCCTTGAGGCACTTGTAAAGTGGTGAAAAGGAGTGGAGTGGTTGCGTTGCTGTTGCGGGCCGAAGGCTGACGCTTTTCGTTTCATTTTGGGGGGATGCCTCGTTAAAAACCTCATTAGGAAAAATCCTGTGGGAAAAAATCCTAATGAGGGAAAAAGAGTGCATCGAATTCCCCCAACGATGAATCGAAAATGTGAAACCTTGGTCCAAAATGGAGAATAATGGTAATGCCGAAGGCTCTCCTTGTTCTGAGGGCTCATGTGTTGAGTAGCCGGAGGCTTGTCGTTGATGTCATGGGAGGTGCCGAAGGGGAGCCCCTCATTTTGGGGATCGAGGGCGTGATGGATGAGGGCAGTAGTTGAATTGTTACCGGGGTGTCCCCTGCTTGTTGATTAGTTGGTGATGAGGATATCCGAGGGCTCCCATTACCTGTGTGCCGTAGGCTATCCGTCAATGAGGCATACTCCTCGGGGGCTACCCGACTCTTACAGTGCTGAGGGGGAATCCCCGAGGGGTGGCCTGATATGAAGCCTTGGGCTTCTGAAGGAGTGATCCCGAAGGCGACTGTTATGTACTGTGTGGGGCACAACCCGGGGGCGTCTCTGGGTAAGTGTACCCGGAGGCTCTCCTTGATGAAGTGGAGTGAAGTAAGAAAACCCGGGGGCTCCCAGAATATAGCCGTTGGAAATATAGCCGTTGGAATATGTAACGTCAGGATATAGCCGTTGGGGGGGGTGCCACGTGGTGCGTGCCCGTTGGCTGCCCGTGGGCGGGCGTCACCGATTGGGTGAAAACTCGGTCGGTAATGATGGCGATCCAACCGGAGGCCCGGTTTCCAGGCCCAAGCCCGGATCCTAGCGCCTATAAATACCCCAAGGCCAGAGCCATTCTCCGCTGTGCGATCTCAGTGTAGCGAAGCTCTGGCAAAAATTTTCTAGAGAGAGAAACTCGCCCTCGGTTGAATCCTCTGTTCTCAAGGTCAGTTCCCCCCTGCCCTGCTCCTTCTAGTTAGCTGTCTTGTGCCCTTAGGCTAGGAGATAGAGTTTTTAGAAAACACTATCGTCTACGAGCCTTCGAACCAGAGCCAGAATGTCGTCCCAGAGTGATTCTCAAAATATCTCGGGGGCACCCTCGATGGAGGATGAAGTCCTCTCGGATGCGGAGTCCTCAAACGAACAGTCCTCGGCCCAGGAGGATGTTGCGATGGCAGTAGAAGTGCAGAAGGAGCTGTTGGCTGAAGTTGAAGCCGAGGGCTTCGAGCAGGAGGTGGAAGACGAAGAGCTGGCCCTCGCCATGCAGGTTGCAGAGGAGGAGGAAGCAAAGGAGAGGACGAGGGTGACCGTGGCCGTCCTTCCCCCTCGGGGTGCCGGTGAGGCCAGCACCTCTCGGCCGCTGAACGCGGTTCCCATCCGGGTGGCCCCCGGAAAGAAGAAGGCCAAGGTAGCTGCTCCCAAGAAGAAGGGCAGCGTCGCAGATCAAGGGAAGCCCCTCGATATGCCCGAGGGGTACTCCTACCTGAACACCGCCGCCTTGGAAATAAGGTCGAAGGTTGATGCGGCGGACATCTACGTTACTCAGCTTCACGTGGGCCCCTCGGCCATCGTGGTGACACCGGGTCCAGATGACGTCCTCTCTCGGGCTCCCAAGGGCTGTATCGCGGTGCACGTTCTCTCGGTGTCCATGGGGCTCCGCTTCCCCCTGCACCCTTTCCTCCGGGAGTACCTCCGGTTCGTGGGTCTGGTCCCCTGCCAGCTGACCCCGAACAGCCATTCCTACATTACTGGCTTCCTCCAGCTCTGCAAGTCCCGGGGGGTGACGCCTAGCCTGGACCTCTTCTTCCAGAGCTTCAATCTGTGCCGGGGGGGGATGCGAATGTCGAGGGCTTCGCAAACTTGCAGCAGGTGGCAATGTTCAAGCTCTTCACTGAGGCGCCCTCCTCGAACAAGGGGTGGAAGGACCGGTGGTGCTACGTGAAGCTGACCGAGAGCCCCTTCCCGAGGGAGTTGCGTGACCGTTTCAGGAGGCACGAGAAGAGGAGGAGCGCCGCCCTCGAGAAAGAAGGCAGGATTCTGGCCATGATCCCGGAGGGCCGGGACAAGAATATCACCATCAAGGAGTGCACCAAAGAGGGAGATCTCTACACCCTCGGGTTCCGGAGGTATCGCTTCCTAGGGGAAACAAATGAGAAGTTCCCGGTGTTTGAGGGAGCCTCCGGAGGTAGTGGCTGAGGGCACTCTCACCTTCATATCTTAGCACATAGTTCATTTGCTTGTTTGTTTCTCTTTATGTCATCTGTTAGTGACCCCTCGATTTTAACCCCACATTGTTTTTCCAGGTGTCAATATGGATCTCAATGCCTTCGCCAACCTCAAAAAGCAGAAGGTGAAGGTCCCGGGCCAGAAGGAGCCCGTAAAGCAGAAGCCCCTCGGGGAGATGAAGAAGGGCGGTGAGCCCTCGGGGGAGGCCGCAAAACGGAAGGCCGCCGGCAAGGCCCCAATCCCCGAGGGGAAGAAGCAGAAAAAGGGGGACGCCGGGAAGAAGGCTCCCCTGGTGGTGGTGGTGGACGAGCATTCTGCCTCCGAGCCCAGTGCTCCGACTGCTCCTTGCCCGCCCTCGGGTAAAGGTGGCGAGGTAAGCTTGCCTTGGGAGGATATACAGTTCTCCCTGCCGAAGGGGTCTGCCATTACGCATGGCACAGTGGAGCCCCGGAAATTTCTGGGCGGGGCTACACCCGCTCTGGACAGGCGGGCCCTCGGGAAGCTGGATGATGAAGCCCTCGAGTCCAAAATCCTCCGATCCTCTCTTACCGTAAGCTGGATGGCTCAACTGGAGAGGGACCTCCAGCAGGCGAGGGCGGAAGCAGAGAGAGCGGCCAGAGAGAGGGTGGAGATGGAGAAGGCGGCTGCCGAGGCTGCGAAGAAGGCCCTTGAAGACGCCGAGGCCGCCAAAGCAGAGGCCGCCGCTGCTGCAGTTGCTGCCTTCATGACTGAGGGATGGAAGGCCGAAGGCCATAAAGACTGGGTGGCCTCGGTCATGGAGAGTTCTGCCGAGGGGTGGGTGAAGGGCCCCGGGGCGATGTGGCTAGCCCGAAAGGGTGAAGATTACTACGCCGGGGGGGAGTTCTTCACCCAGGCCCTAATCTACAGGAGGCTCGCCCGGCACCTGAAGATAGAGCCAACGGCCTTCGACCCGTCGGCATACGGTCTCCCCCCCTCCAGCCTGATATCAGAGTCCCCCTTCCCGAGGGCGTCGAGAGGCCGGAACTGGAAGATTCAGAACTCCTGAAAGAGGCCGAGGGCGATGAAGTAGAGGCTGATGCGGAGGTCATCTCGAAGCCTGCGGAAGAGGCTACCCCCGGTGTTGACAATATGTGATATGTAATTGTAGTGTTTTGAATTCCTTTGTTTTTTGTTTGTAATGAATATTCGTGTACTCTCGGCCTCGGCCATATTGTAACATATATATTTTGGCTCCTCCCTGAATGCATGAATGTTTGCCTTCGGGCTTTTTGTATAGTTCGTTTCCTCCGAGTGTTTTTCCTTGAATGTATGCCTTCGTCTCGTTTTGAATTTATACCTTTGCTCCTTTGAATGTATGCTTAGGACTTAGGAAATATTCTTCCAAGTGTTTGTCCATCTGTTAGCCCCCGGCTGATCCTTCCCTCCGGTTCTTTGTAGTCTTTATGAGATAAACAAGGGTGAGGAGCTTAGGTCTTAGAAAATTTTTCTAAGTGTTTGAATACGGTTGTAGCCTTCGGTAGTTGGACACCCTTCGCTGGATATACAACCGAGCGCTCAGCAATAGTTAGGACTTAGATTTTTTTTTCTAAGTGTAGTTTCACCAAGCCTTCAATCGTGTGACCCCTCGGGTTGCAGGGAGATTCGGGACTTAGAAACTTGTCACCGAGGGTAAGATCTTTTGGGACTTAGAAATTTTTCTAGGTGTAGCACGTATGTAGCAGGAGCCCTCGGTCAGCATGGAGATTTGACCGAGGGTCAAAGTATGTAGGACTTAGAAAAATTTTCTAAGTATAGCTTCACCAAGTCTTCAACCGCATGTCCCTCGGGTAGCATGGAGATTTGACCGAGGGCCAAAATATGTAGGATTTAGAAAATTTTTATAAGTGTAGCACACCATAGGGCCTTCGGGTGTTTGTAGTTCAATCGCTGTGTGATGATTAGGTTGAGAACCCAATCCTTAGGACTTAGAAAATTTTCTAGGTGTAGTCTCCCATTGGAAGCCCTCGGCTGGCAGCCTCCTTCCTGATGTGTGAATATTTGACCGAGGGCCAAATATGTAGGACTTAGAAAATTTTATAAGTGCTGTTGCATCACGTAGCCTTCGCCTATCATGGTTCCTCTAGTTGAAATATTGATCAGGCTGGGGGCTCAATCTTCAGGACTTAGAAAAATTTCTAAGTGTTGCTTCCTTGTGTAGCCTTCGGTTAGTAGTGTTTTCTACTTAAGATTTCCCGAGGGCGACATTATTTTGGAATAATCCCCCTTGGTTGGCCTTTGATGATTTGTAATAGATGCCTTCGGTCGTTGGGTGATATGTGAGCCTCCGGCTGTTGTCATTTTTTCAAAAGTGTGGACTTAGGAAAATTTGTAGGATATTGATGTTGTAGTGAATGCTGGTGGGATATAGGTGCCCTCGGCATTCATTTGAAGGGTTCTTGAGCTGCCTTAGTCAGTTGCATCCCCTTTTACAGGATAAGACCCCTCGGTACAATGGATGACCAATGGTAGGTGCCCTCGGCACTTATTTGAAGTGAACTTAGCCATTTAGTGTACTTGAGACAGTCCCATCCCTTTGTATTGTTGAGCAGTATCCTTCGGGAAATAGGAGCCTTCAGTTACCGGAGGTGTTCCCGTAGGGAGCCCTCGGTATGTTGTGATTTGTTGGAGTGTTGTACTCACTGATTTCTCGATGAGTCTACTCCCCTTCACCCCCTCTTTTTTTTTTTGGTTGGTGGTGAAGGGAAGGCATCAAGAAACTTGGTTTCTTGGTAAGGCTGGGCCTATCAGGAGATCATCAGAATACACCAATGGCTCTCCTCCCTCGGGTTAACCTTCCGAGTTCCGAGGGGATCGAGGGTCGTTTCCTGGGCACAAGATATGGTGGTCTGTAACCTGCCTCCCCTTGGGGGATGGCGCGGAAAGCGCCTCATTTTTGAAAGTCGTCCCCTCGGCGCTAGACATAGTCCGTAGCCTACCACACCCTTGGGGTGGTAGCACGGGGAGCGTTTCGGTTTGGAAGTCGAATCCTGGGCATTTCTCGTGCCTGTCATACCCTTGGGGTGATGACGCGGAAAGCGTTCCGTTTTTGAAAGTCGAATCCTGGGCATTTCTCATGCCTGTCATACCCTGGGGGTAGTGACGCGGAAAGCGTTTTAAGGAAGGGTTTTCATTTGCACACTAGTTGCAAATGGCCGGGGGCACTACGTGCCGCCGGCACCGATGGTGGCGCCTTCGGTATATGCGTCCTCGTGGGGTACGGCTTTTAGAAACAACACTTGGTGTTAGTTTCGTTATGTAGCCCCCAGTACTTGGTACCGAGGGGTCTTCTGTAGGAACTCTTAGTGTTCTTCTTCTATTTGACGTTGATGGGTGAGATGTGTACCCCCGGTACTTGGTACCGAGGGGTCTTCTGTAGGAACACTTGGTGTTCTTCTTGTTGATGGTGGAGATGTGTACCCCCGACACTGGGTGCCGAAGGGTCTTGAAATGAAACACTCGGTGTTTCCTGTTGCCGGTGATGGGAGTCCCCACCTTCGGTACTCGGTACCGAGGGGTCTTGTTTGAAACACTTGGTGTTTTCATTGTTGTTGAGGGGGTTGATGGTGTCCGCCCTCGACACTTGGTGCCGGAGGGGGTTCTTCTCGTGGTGAGGCCTGAGGCCTGTAGTTGGTATGAGGCCTTGGCCGCTCATAAGTGTTTTGTGGTTGTTCTTGGTGTCTTGAATGTGTCTTCATTCTTCAAAATTGGAGGCCTTGGGCCATAGGATAGTACATTCACTAGTTATGAGGGCTTGGCCGCTCTTACATTATTGATAAAATTTAACCAAGTGGTGTACATTCCAGTGCCTAGGGACCTCTTTCCCGTTGGGGCGCTTGATGATGGCTGCTATGATGTAGGGATCTTTGAATTTTGGCTGCCATTTTGCCTCCCTCGGTCGGTTGGCTGGCTTCCCTCCTCCGGAGGACATAGTCCCCCACTTGGAATTCTCTGGTGCGAACCTTGGCGTCGATGTAGCTTTTAACTTGCCTCCGGTAGTTTTCTGCCCGGATGAAGGCTTGCTCCCGACGTTCTGAAAGGAGGTGGAGGTCGAGGGCCATGTTGCTGTCGTTGACCTCGGGGTCATATTAGATTACCCTCCGGGTGGGAAGGGTGACTTCCGTAGGAGCTTTGGCTTCAAACCCGTAGCAGAGGGAGAAAGGTGTTTCGCCTGTTGCTCGCCGAGGGGTGGTGCGGTAGGCCCAAAGGATGTTGTGGAGTTCTTCTACCCAGCCACCGCCCTCGGCCTCCAATTTCTTTTTGAGGCCCTCGAGCAAGGTCCGGTTGGCGTTCTCTACTTGCCCGTTGCCTTGAGGGTAGGCAACGGAGGAGAAGGTGTGTTTGATGCCCCATGCCTCCAGAAGGGCACAGAAGGGGGCTGCCTCAAATTGTGTTCCGTTGTCGGAGATGATCTGCTGGGGGATGCCAAACCTTGTGAGGATGTTCTTGAG